GTCGGAAGCCAACATCAGATACAACCAAAGCACAACCAGCAACAAACGCAACAACAGCGTCACCAACCTCAGTAACAACAGCACAACCAACAACGGATACAATAACAGCAAAGCCAACATCAGATACAATCACAGCACAACCAGCAACAAACGCAACAACAGCGTCACCGACCTCAGAAACAACAGCACAACCACCAACGGATACAACAACAGCCAAGCCAACGTCAGATACAACCAAAGCACAACCAGCAACAAACGCAACAACAGCGTCACCAACCTCAGTAATAACAGCACAACCAGCAACGGATACAACAACAGCAAAGCCAACATTAGATACAAACACAGCCAACACAACCACAACCACAACCAACACAATCACAAAAAAGCCACCAACGACTTCAACCACAGAAAAACCAACATCAGATACAACAACAATAACATTAAAATCAGCAGAATCTATACCAACACCATCTTCAAAATACTCAGTATTAACAACAACGACAAAAGAACCAGATACAGCCACCAAAACATTACCAACAGCAACAGTAAAACCGAAGTCGTCTGAAGCAATATGGTTGAAATCATCAGCAGAGAGAGAGATAACTGAGCTAGCTTCAGCAACATTACAAGCAACAGCTACCACGTCCAAAATAGAAAAGATAACAACATCAACAGCGGTAGAAGTAGTAGCAGAACCAGTAGCCACGGAAATTTTAGCACCAACTGCTTCATATCAAACCGCAAACCTGAATTCAAAATTATCGACAACAGAACCGATAGCACACCTAGGGCCTGGAACATCATCATTAGCGACAACCGAGGAAGGAAGAGCAACAGAACTAGCTGTAACAGCAGCAATGTCGACGATAACATTGGAAGGACCAGCGGGTGTAACTTCAGCACCCTTACCGTCGCAAACAGCAGGCTTACAAGCACGAAAGTCAGTCGAAGCAGCTTCGTCAGAATCATCTTCAGCTACAGAAACAACCGAACAAGCAGTAGTAGTTGCACTGTCAACAAAATCAAACTTAAAGCTGCCATTAATTGCAAGATCAACAGCGTTGCCATCAGTATCAACGCTAGAAACAGGGAAATCGATAACATCAACAGCAACGTTACCAAAATCAACTTTAAAGCCACCAGCAATTTTAGCAGCAGCATCATCGTCTTTAATAAAAATAACGTTAGACACGGTAGAATCAACATTAGCATCGTCGTCAGAAATTTTATCAACATTAAAACAAACAGGAATAAGAGCAACTTTCACACTGTCAATTTTAGAGCCGTCGTCATTTTCAACATCGGCTTCGTTTCCATCATTAGTCAAGTTAAAAACAAGAGGAACAAAACAAGCGTCTTCAAAATATTTAGCAACATTAAAACAAGCAGCCATATCAGTAGCGTCAACAAAGTCGACTTTAGAGTCGCCCATAATTGAAACATCACTACTTTTCCCTTCAATAACAAGGTTACAAACAAGAGAATCGACAGAATCAACATCCTCAGGAACTACAAAAGAACAGGAGGCAGTATTAATGATATCAACAAATACGGAATCCAAACTAACGCCTCCAACAAGAACAGCAACGTCGAGAGAGGCTACAGAAGAAATGAATACAGCTTTAGAAACATTATTTAAATCAGAAATCATTAAAACAACAAAAATGTTAACACTTCCACATGAAACAGAAGGAAAAACTGTAACACCGCCACTACACGCACATGGGTCTACATCATTAGGAGTGGCTACAACAATAACAACACCCACAGCAACAACAATAGCAGCAACAACTGCAGAAGGAATGGCAAAAGTAACATCTGTAGCAGGGCAACCAGGTATAAACTTAAAATGCACTTACTTCTTCATTGTCTTTTTTTATTGTTCGTTTGTGTGTCTGTTTATATTTGCTTCTAGTTAGTGTTTCCTTTTTCCATTACTACTTTTTCCCTCTTTGGCCTTCGGTATAAGGCGTGTCAAGGCTAAAAACCAGTCGCTTCGATAATAGATTGTAACGCCAAAATGATATTTTATATCAAGACTCAAGTCTCCATCATTGTTGGAAAGCTATGCTATTTTGTCTCTTAATCGCAAACAATATTACAGAATTTAATCTCTTTGAGAACATCTATTTGCAGATGATCCTTGTGTCCCAAATCCTTGTGAGAATTATGGAGAATGCTGAAGGACAGTCGAACCGCAAGGATTCTACTGCAGCTGTACCTCAGAGTATACTGGTGCTGCATGCGAAAATAAAATAGGTGAGACAATAGCTCAGTTTCTTTAAGAATGGTGATATCGATTAGCCTTCGCTGGGGCGCATCAGATATAGTTGGCTAGTCTCGGTTTAAACCCTTTCATTCCGTCATGTGACATTTTGACTTCATTTGCGTTTCACATTCTGGAGTTCACATTCTCGAACTATCGTTATTTCAGTCTTCGGGCTACATCCCTGCGTATAAAATTTTATCAGAGTATCACTTTGTTGTTAGCACAGATTTCTAAAACTGAAACTTCAAACGTCGCTATCACAGGTTAAATTTTGTTTAACTACGTAAAATGGCTCGACGAGTTCGTAAAAAAGTACTGTTAAAAAGTACTTTACCTTTTTTCCATAAGTTTGCCATAAGCTTTGTTATGTCAACTTTGGGAGCGCATTTTAGAATTGCTTTTCTGGATGTGAAAGAGTCAGAATCTCACTGTAATTTTAAATTGGATTCCCTGAATCGTTAATGTTTCCACTAGCTGTAGAAACGTCTCGGTGTAGCAGTGTAGACATTACCCGAGACAGGAGTGTTGAATGGGCTGGGGATGCATCAGTGCATCATAGTAATTTTTTTTCTTGGATCTCGGACCTTTTGTGTTAGCAGGTTCTCTTGTGATAATGTTACACTGTAATGTCCCTCAGTTATGTCAAAACACCTTAATTTCCTGCAATTTCATTTCATTTTTTTCGTGCACATTTCGGGGTTATTTTTTAAATATTTTCTCCTTCCTCGCACAAATAACTTATATGATCTTTTCCCCCATGCCTGCGAGATTTGTCTCAAGCTTAGTTATTTAATTTTTAAATAATTTAGTTCACGGCAACTGGGGTATCTGGACTCAATGGCCCAACTGTAACAAGCCCTGTAATGGTGGAAACAAGACAAGAAAACGTCAGTGTGACACCCCTAAGCCAGCATTTGGTGGAAGATACTGTATTGGTTCTGCAACTGAGATGCAGTTTTGTAATATGGACAGCTGTCCAGGTAACTTGATTATCTATCAGTAATAATGAATTAATAAAAACTGGCTCATAATCAATCAGTCGTTTATTCATTTATCGATTTTAGCCGACGAATTAAACTACGAAGTGCGATTCATGGCTGAAACCTGGAGTGATGAGCTTGAAAACCCTGACAGTGAGCTGTATAAGAATTACAAGGATGAGATTCAAGATACCGTTAGTACTTATAATCATCACCTTTATTTAGTATAGTACTAACGATCGTACATTTTTAATCCTTTTTATTTCTTTTTCCTAGATATGAATTCACTCTGACTGATCTAAAAGTTTGATCCACTTTCTTAAGCTTAGTGTAAAGCAGCACCACAAGCAAGAAATAATTAACTTAAGATTTTTGTTTAAAATAGATGGTTTGGGTTTATTGACTATAGTAGTGGTGGAAAGCAGTACCACGGTCAGCATCAAATAGCATAATTGCGTAATTAGGAAACAAAACGGAAACATGAAACTCTATACAAGGGAAATATTCACATACTTGAACAACGAAACAACCTACACAGCTCAGGAAAAAAATACATTTATAACACGAATCGATCTAATTTTTATTTGTTTTCGAATGGCCACCTACCAGGGCTCCATGTACGGACTTCAAGTTTGAACCCTTTGTTAATCATAACGGTCAAAACAATATAACAACTGCTCACCAGCTTTCTTTTGAACGGTCTAATTCTAGGATTTAATAGCTTGAGCTAGCCTCGAACAACAGGAAAAATAGCACCGTGTCATAAAGGGTTAGAGCTGAAGCTCCAGCATAAAAATCTTTTATTAAATCTGGACGAGCGATTATTTGAGAGATTTAGCATCGCGTTCACGTGCAATAGCAAACGTCAGTTTGCCCTTCCATGTTTGACCTAAAATATCGTGAGCCTTGCTGCTTTCGCTTTGCGTGAGCTCACGTCACAATGGATTTGAAAGCGCCCTTGTATGGCTTACAAAGAATAGCCTTGGTGCCCTTTTTCCAGAAAAAAAAGGGGAGAATATCATTATTCAGACGGCAAACGTGAAACAGGTTACTTTCAGGTAGAAACAGCACAGCGCAACCGGCGAACGTGAAAAAAATGACGGGTAAACGAGCTCAAGAGGTCACTCTTGGTGTTCATGTCTTACATTAACGCGGTGCTCAATCTCTCTTTATCCTTAAACGTCTACTTCGCTTATTTGAGGTCATGGCCTTTTATTTGGAAAACGGCGATACCGTAACATTCAAGCTTTTGAGTTTGAGGTATTTCTCCCTGCTTTTATTTGTATCCGGGTCAATTGTTGAAGGTGGATAAGATTCACTTGTTTGAGAAAATGAAGCTCGCTGAGGATCCAGAGTTTTTCTTTGCTCATGAGGCCACAACTTACGCAGTCATTATGTTTGGTACCTTCAGTCCTTATTCGTTTCATGCGTTTTCTTATTTCGTTTGGATACTTTTGGGGTCATCCCTCCAAAGCTTGTTCATGCTAACCTTTGATGAGTCACGTATATGAAGATCAAGAACAAAAATGGCTGATGTGAGTCGGAGGTCTGTTGTAGCCTATTTACTCTTAATCTTTACGGTTTTCTTAATTTTTTGAGGCATGGAAGCATTATTGCAAGTTTTAACGTCACCTACCCAGCGATAGACTCGCTTCAGGTCGTTGTTTTGCAAGAACAAATCGCTGGAGGAACTCTTGGAAATTTTTCAGCAGAATTACTCAACATTACCAGCAGTTATGGTGAGAATATCGAAGGAACAGATAACAATAACCTGATATGGCATTTTCTTCCTATTGTCTCATTGTTTTGTAACAAGCACTGACCGGAAATCTATAGATTATTACTCACTTGCTATTTTCCGTTCGGGTGGTGCTAATTATATGCTAGATGAGAGGTTTCGCGCTTCAGCAAGGTTTTGACAAAGTTGACAAAAGAGAAAAATTCATATGAGATGTGACTGACGGAAGGACTTCCTCGGCTATCCACCTTCCATTATTAGTCTGTTCTGTTAAGCATAGCTTAACTCAAAACTATAAATTATTCCCTGAACTGAGCTAAAAGTATTATGCCCCATTGACTAAGTGGGAGGGCCAGACAGGAAAATATTTGCATGGCTCGAGGTCATGACGTACGAGCAGCAGGGCCGTGCGGCTTTCTCCGCTCCGGCTCGGGTCAACCCGTCAGGTCCTCCACCAGTCAGCTTTTACTATGACTTTCTCTTAGATTGCATGATCGGGGCCGGCTGGTTATGTGATAATTCATAATTATGAGCTTAAGGAGTACCATTCATGTGTTCTTATTTTAACTACAACTTGCGCATCTTCCGTTTGACTAAACCGCTGAATGAGACACAAAAATCGAAACGGTGATCTTGATATTTTATTTTAACGAAGGACATTGTTTCTAGATGTAAATTATCAATGTTTTATCTCTACGATATCCCCGTACATGGTCAAGATTATTGAACCCTGAACTCATGGTAAACAAAGCGTACCAAAAAAACAAAGACAATTGTTTATAAAACAACGTGTTACGAAAATTTTACTTCAGAACAATTAGAGAAAATTTTTTTCATCTCTTTTTTTTTCTTTTTCAGTGCCAAATGAAGCTCCAGTTATTTTGGAGTAAAAAAGTTCCACTTCAACAACGATTGAGCTGAAATGGTCGGAAGTCACGCAACTGAATTCAGTTCCACTCCTTGGTTACGTCATTATATACAAGGAACGCAACACCAAGTTTCAACACGACATCCACAAATCTGTGCTTCCCCTGCCGCGGGAAACGGTGCTGAAGGATTTGAAAAAATTCACAAATTATACCATACGAGTGTATGCTTTTACGAGGAATGGAAATGGAATACCGAGCGAAGCAGTGACTTTGCAAACTCAGGAGGATGGTAAGAATACAATACGCAAGTGAACGAAAGAGACCAGTACCTACTTACACAAAAGCTTAAACATGATTTGAAACTGTTTTCTTTTTTCGTAGAAGCTACAAAACTGATGTATGTGGACTTCAAATTAAGCATGGGGAGAACAATTCCACATTTACACCAACACCCCACTCACGTCAAAGCTTAAATATGCTTTATAGCTGTTTTTTTTTTTAACACGATTAAAACTGTGTTCTTCATAGAAGCTACTAAACTGTTGTTTGTCGACTTCAAATTTAGCACATGGAGACCAGTTCTCCATTTACACCAATTCCCACTCGCACCAAAGCTTAAACTTGCTTAATAGCTTTATTTTTTACATGATTTAAAACTGCTTTCTTCCTAGATGCAACTAAACGGATGATTGTTGACATCAAATTAGAACACTGAATATAAACTTTATTGAGTTTTTCAAACCTAAGGAAAAGTTTTGATTTTTTTTGTTTCTGATTTTAATCCAGCCATAAGCTGTTTAACTAAACAGGCTTGCTGGCGTGAACTGGGTATTATTTTTAAAAGGAAACACTCCCTTGGTTTTCAATGAGAGGTCGATAGGGGGAGGGTAAAATGCCACAGCAAGTTTTAAGAGACGTCGATCGATTCAAGGAGCAGCCCTCTTCAAAGGAAATCATATTCTCGAAACAGAACGAAATTCACTGTGGCGGAATATTTGCCTTTATCATATTTGTGGTTTTTGAAGTATTGCAATCCGCTTAAGTTTTAACCTACAAAGGAATTCTATTCAGAAAAGCCAAAAAGATTGCAAAGGCTAATCAAATCAAAAATGAACATCGCAAGAGGCAAAGGGAAACTCAAGTATGGAATCGGGAATTAGCGAGCGACCAGGTCGTGATTTGTGTAGGTCCGATTGGCTCAGGAACAAAGAGTTTTAGCGAACAGTCGCAGACCGACGCGGAAAAAACCTAAAGTATCCTCTATTGCTTTCAATATCAAATCGCAAACATCTCCTTATTAAAATCTGTCTCTTTCGTCATCAGTCCCAAGCGAGTCCCCACCAAATATTGTTATGATAGTCACAAGTTCAAGGACAATTCGTGTTTCGTGGCAACCAATGAACTAAGCTTACGTGCATGGCATCCTCTTGGGATACGAAGTTAGATACGCAAACGATGACGGGTCAACATTAACCTGGATTAGAAAGAGACGGCGCGCAGAAATACAACAAGTTTTATTGGATGAACTGGCTCCCTACACATGGTACTGGGTAGTAATCTGTGCCAGGACATCTAAAGGTTGTGGAAAAGAATATTTCGACTATGTGCAAACCTGGGAAGATGGTGAGTTCTGATTTGGGCAGCAGCTTAGGACGTTGCCAAAATGTTGCACGTCTCCCAAAGGCGACATCGGAGCGAAATAAAAAATTACTTTTAATCTCCCCTCTCCTGTTCTTATCTTCCTTTTGTATATCGATATTTGATAGTAATAATTTTCTTACTTTTAGTAACTTGCTTCGGTGAAAAAGAAAAGAAATTATGACAAAACAAACAAAGAACGAGATTTTCAACAACACCTCTGTTATGTTTGCCACTTGTGTGAGTTTTTTTTATTATTCCTTTGTCCGGAATTCTTTTTTTCTGAGTTTATTGTTTTCTTCTCTTTGTTTTATCTCTTCGTCAAGTTCCTAGTATGCCCCCTCTGCAGCTCACGGCCTACAACTTCACATCCGAAGCATCCATTGCTGTCAGCTGGAGTCCAGTCCCTTCAAATCACATCAACGGTATTTTACTAGGTTACTCCCTAAAATACGAAAGACTTCAAACATCCGAGAGACAAGTCATAGACGTAGACGAGCACATGCTGACTTTGAGGGCAACGGATCTTTCGGTTTCCCTGCAAGTCCAGGCGTACTCGATTTACAGAATAGGAGTGGCAGCCTTTACTCGCAAAGGCATAGGACCGTATACTGAATATGCTTACGCAGGTGAGTACTCAGACGTGAGTAAGTGCAGGACTAGGTTCCTGAGCGAGTTCCTGATCGAGTACCTGAGTTAGTCCTGAGTGAGTACTTAGGTAATACCTGACGAATTACCAGAGCGAGTACCTAACTGAGATCCTGAGTGATTACCAGTGTGAGTACTTGACTATCTCATGTGACAAACAACCCCAGATATGCTTCATAAAATCAGATGAAAAGTCCACTGACAGAATGTTTCCACTTTTCCACAAGAATCATGCCGTTGCCCAAAAGTTCTTTACACAAATTTTTGGTCAACATCTCCATATCTGAAAGTAAACGTGGAAGACAACGAGATGGAAGGAATCTTCAGCAGAATTGTGACAGATATGATCTTTGCGGCTTGTGGCCTCTGCCCTGGTCACGGTAGCTCTACCATAATCAAGATTACCACCAACGGCAAAGGCGAATATTCTGCTAAGAAAAGTATCTCGGAAGTGCTTGGTGATATCGATGATGTTCCACAGATTAGCTTTCCGATCTACGGAAACAAAGACATCACACGATACTTGGGGGCTTATGCCTATATCAACCTGGTGGAGTCCCCAGGGGTGGCATTTATTGCTGCAAAGCGCCTTCCAGGGTCCATGGCCAAGAACATGATAAACGCAGTTTTAGAATGTATTCCTATGATTATGTTGTCAGCATGTATGGCTTATATTTCTGGATTTATCTTATGGGTCTTGGTAAGTAAATAATTTGGATATATCAACAAAGTTGAAATGGTAAATTGGCCACCGTAACGATTACAAAAGCTGACGTTTCGAGCGTTAGCC